TTTGAAACTGCAAATTACATATAGCTATGAAAGATCTCATTATAATTTAGAAAGAGTCTTGATCAAAATACTTCCAAATGCAATGCTACACGTTACAAAGTTAGCAAATTCCCTGATGGCACACAGGTGTTCATCATTTTATGGCTCCCATTCCTCTCTGTGCCGTGCGCCCGCCCCCTGGGCCCCGATGGTGCCTGTACGAGCCTGCCGGAAGGCGGAGCCCGAACACCGAGCGGCGACGAACCCCGGCGAGGATGGCAGGGAGAGAGCCGCGAGTGGGTGGGGGACGGAGTGCAAAGTCTCCATGTTAACGCATTGTAACTTACGCAGTGCGTTTAGAATGTGAAATTTGCCATAAAACTTCACAACCAGTAATCAAAATGGTTCACTCTGTAATTTTCTTAAATTTTGCCAGCATTGTGTAATTGATGGATTCATGTGTTTTTGTTGAAAGTTTCCAGCTCGTAAAATGTCCATGAAAAGTTAGCAGAAAATGACTGATGTTCTTTTCCTGCTCTGTGACATTTTCCCGTCTGGGCATTACACATTAACAAACATACTAAATTATTGTGGACCTTTTAAACTGAGCCCATGCACTGAAATTTCTAAAATTTCAGCAATAAAAACACAATCATCAAATAATGTTAATTACGTTGAGTAGTACACATATCCAAATGAATGCCACCAAGGTACTGAAGAAAATTAGGAAGTGAAACATCACTTTTATTACCTATTGTGCTGTTTCTTGGCTGCCTTCACATTCCAAACACATGGCTGACAGTTGTTTCCATGATGACTGGGTTGGCAGAGCCTGCTGCAGCACTGTGATTTTCTTTTGGCTGCATGGGCTATAGGTTGAACTTGAGGTGCATTCAACAGACACTTCGCTTCATGCACACAATTTAGAACAGATTTAAACTACACATGGTTTCCCGTAGTTATATAGGTTTCCAAGACGTGCTTGACAACAGTGAGATGAAGGCAAAGTAAAGTAGTAAAACACAGCTAAGCAAAGTAGTACTGACAAACGTACTGGAGAACTATGCATTTTCAAACTGAGAATCAGTAATAGGAGACAGTACAGTACAAGCAGTGAAACTGATATTAGGAGATACTGCAGGTGCACCTTAATAAAGAGGACACAAAACAATATTGAGCAAAACATTGAGCATTAGAAACACCAACAACTTCTCTAACAGGTATACAAATACAGTGCAACAGGCCTGAGTTATGTGCCTGTGTGCTTTGATTTAACTGGGTCTTATAGTCATAAAGATGTACTAAGCCACCTAACTACATAAATGAACAACTGGCACCAAGAGATGTCTTACAGAGCATCAAAATTAAAAACAGAAAAAAACAGTTACTTGAGAAGCTGTGTGTGTATTTAGCTTGTCCCCTGAAAAAGGGACGCACTGAATTTACCTGATTCAAATGTGTACATCACTTCCACATGAGCAAAATATCACATACACACTTACTGCCAAAATAGAGTGAAAAGCTTAATAACATAAAATACATACTATCAATGAAAACACACACATACACATGCACACAAACCCCCAAATCAAAAAAAACTGGGATAGTATGGAAAATGCCAAAAGAAAGCAGTGATTTCTAAAATTTACTTTGACTTGTATTTCATTGCAGACAGTATGAACGCAAGCTATTTCATGTTTAGTCTGGTCAACTTCATTTCATTTGTAAATATACATCCATTCCTGCCATACAGGCCTGCAACACATTCTAAAAAAAGCTGGAACGGGGGTACTTTAGGGCTTGTAATGGGGGAAAACAATTAAATAATGATGTGATTTGAAACAAGCTTGGGTGCAAACTTAAGCTGAACAACAGTGTTTTCCGATACTTCAGATAGCATTGCATCAAGAACCATCATTTATCTGTAAGCGATATAAGCACTTGGGCTCAGGATTACTTTGGCAAACCTTTGTCAAAACCACATTCTGCACACATTACAATGGCATGGTTCTGGAAGAAGAGTGTGCGGGTACTAGACTGGCTTACCTGCAGTCCCAACCTGCCCCAATAGAGAGTGTGTGGTGCATTTTAAAACACACAATGCGTCAACGAAGACCTGTGTTGTTGCACACCTTAAAACTTGTATGCAGGAGGAATAGCACAAAAAAATACACCTGAAACACTTCATCAATTGGAGTCTTCAGTCCCTAACCATATTTGAAGTTTTGTGAAAAGGAAAGGCAACATTACAAAGTGGTAAACGCTTTTCTGTCCCAACTTTTTTTTTTAAAAACTGAAATATATGTTATGTATACACGTCAAAATACTTTACAAATTACAAATTCCAGTGACGTATTTTTTTGACAATTATGCACTTTAATACTGTAAACAAGGGCGCTATGAGCAAACAGAGGGCATATTTAGGATCTGTGTCTCCTCTTTTCTTTGAAGCTCTGTGGTCAACAAAACATTTAAAAACATTGACCTTTTGTATACGACTATATTATTTTGCTCTATTTTAGCAGACAATATTTTTGGAGTCTAACTCACATCTTTGTTTTTGATATGTGTCATAGTCATAATGTATTATCCCCGCATTACAAAACCTATTGATTCACTGTTTTTCACCGGCCACCATTCCTATTTTCATGTTTCTAAATGTGACAATGCTTGAATACAGTTTACATGGTTTTGTAACATGAATCTTGGAGGTGTTCAACTGTTGACCAACAGTGGCCCAACTGTTATCAGGAGATCATGAATTTGTATCCTGATGATGTCTTGTTTAGAAAATTCTGTAATTTTTTTTGCTTGTACCAAAAAAACCATTAATAGTCAATATTGGATTCAGATGCGGCAAGTAACGAAGCACAAGTACTTCATTACTGTACTTAAGAACTTTTTTTAGGTATCTGTACTGGAGTATTTCTGTCACTTAATACTTTTTACTTTGACTCACTACAATTTAAAAGAAAAATCTGTACTTTTTACATACAGCTTTTTCAAAACAGGCTTGTTACTTTAGTTGTATCAATCTATTTATTTTTGTATTTATAATATATTTTTAACAGGCAAATATATTCATGTACCTAATGACACGCAAATTGGAATTCTACGGGGGAGGGAGGAGCGGAGTGAACCTGTGATTGGCTACTTTGACATTCACAGGGCCCAGCAGTGATCACGAGCGAAAAGGGATAAAACAAAGCGACAGTGGTGAGCTAGCGCTTAAAGATTACACGTAAAAAAAAAATGCCTTCTTGGCCTTACTTAATGCCGGAGTGGGTGATCGGTAGAGTCTCTGTAATGTCCTCAGGGTTTCTTAAAAGCTAGAGGGCGCTCCTGAGCCAAAATGAAGAGAGTAATATGGAGCATTTGAGTAAAATCATAGTTTAAAATCAAAGCTTAATCATTTTTAAGTTAAAGGAATGCATGTATCCTGAAAAAAGAACAGCATAAAACACTAACACCAGTGTTAGATTTTTAAACGCTTTTGAACTGAAGTTATAGGAGTTTAAAATGGTGCCAATGAGCCGCTCCAGTTGCCGACCTGTTTTCTATTCTATTCTATTTTATTCTATTCTATTCTAACTTTCATGTTGTCTTCATCAAGTCAGCCCGCTGTGGCAGTAACCTGTGTTTTTGTCTTCAATAATTATTAGGTTTTAAGTTTGTAGATCTTTAACTTTGTAGGTTTAACTGTCCGACTTTAACTTGTCATCTTCTCTGGGCAGAAGTTGTGTCTGTGGTGGGTATGCTTTATAGTGAAGATGCTGTAGTGTTGGTTGTGTCTGGGAAAATCCAGCTTTGTAAATGGCTGCTCTTGTTTTGTATCAGGGTTGAAGTGTTGTATGGTGATGACTGCACTGCTGACAGCCTGATGTAATGGCATTGCAGGAAATTAGCATGTTTTGTTGTGTGAGTGTGTGTGTGTGACTCCTGGTCTCAAATCCCACCTTGCCCTGGCCTTACATCAAGGAATTATCTGATCTGGTGTTCAGTACTGACTGGTTAAATTAAAAATCAACAGTTTTTTCATTGTTAACATTCCAACAATGTCCATCTTAAATTTTTGTTAAGGAAATCAAACATGTAAATGTGTTTGGTTGGTCTAGACAAGTGGATATTTGTAGAAGACGTCTGCAGTTCTAGTATAACCCATTATGACCATTATGTACACTCAGTTTCACCTGTGCCCCTTAATAACAATATATCCTTTTTTAAAAACTGAATTAGCAATTTTTTTCGTAAAATTTCATTTCGGAGTCTGTACTTATATAATTGTACTTGAGTAAAAAATATAAGTCATACTTCAACTTTTAACGAAGTTTTTTTTACTAGATTACTGGCACTTTTACTTGAGGAACTTCTGTACTTCTGCCACCTCTGACTAGATTACAGTCAGATCACTCAGAGGTGGTCAGAGACAGAGCTTGTCCACTTTTAACATAAGTGTAAAAGGAATGTGTTTTCTATATCTGCATACAATTACATAAGCAGAAATGTGTCAGTTACGAAAGTAATTATGGCAGCTGCAGGACAAAGCCTTCTCTTCTGCCAATACAAATGTTTTAAAAGGTTATATTCAGTTAACAGTGTATTACATACTGGTACATAGAGGTGAAAAACCATTTACAGTAGGCTACTGAAAGTAAACCAGAAATAACATGTGTTAATGTGCTTTTTATGTGGGAAAGTAAAATTGGATCTCATCAAGTCACATTTTTGATATATTTTAGTAAAAAACATAAATGGAATCCAGCCAGAGTATATTCCGATATGATCCAGACATGAAACACATGTTAACGCAAGGTGTAAATAAGCTCATAGTTGCTAAAAAATAATATACTTAGGGCAGAGCATGGATAGGTCCATTGTTTGTTAGTTGTGAAAAAAAGAAACAAAGAAACTGCAAAGGACTTAAATTGGCCCTGATTTGGGTTCACTTTTGAAGTGGATAAGTGCACTGGGCATTGCAGGCCCTGCAGTGTGATTCTGTGAGCCTATTAAGCTGCTCTTACCTCTTTCTGCTGCCTCTCCAGCTCCCTCATGCGGATTTCACGGGCTTCTGCTCTGGCTGCCCTCTTAGCTGCCAGTCGACTTTCAGCCTGAAGGAGAAATTAATCATGTTTATACAGGATAAAACCATGCACTTAACAGTAACCACATAGCCGCAAATGGTAATTCAGGGGTCCAAACGCTAATATGTAAAGTGCATACTAATTGCCCGAAGTAGGCAATTACTGACATAATGTCCCCTTCTGCTGTATGTAAATATTTGCAGGCTATCTGATATATGCTGTATATTTGAATTTGATGCTGTAAGCATATATTTTAATGTTGCTGACAACAAATAATGTTTTCACTGTTTTGTAGAGCTGAGGCTAAATTAACATAGCTGGGCTACACTTCCTTGCGGCCAACTAATGTTAAATGTCAATGGCTAACGGAGAATCAATACGTGAACATATCAATCAAGTTTCACGCCAGTGATAAACCTAAACCTGACTGGCTGATGTTGGCCATATTTTTCTAGTTATCAAGTCATGCTTCTAAATCCTCATGAAAGCATGTGGAAAGATTCACTGCATGCTTGGAACTCTATCGAAAATATGATAGATGGCACAGAGGGGCAAAGCAATTATCTTGTTAATTAGATATAATTAGAATTGAGTTAAATGTATTTGGAACAAAGGCAGATCTAGAATATTGGGGTCGCCATAGTACAGTGAGACTTAATGAATGCCAGGTGATCCAATTGTGTAAATAGCCTGGTACACTGCATTATTCAGCTAAAAGTTATTTAAGTCATTGCTCAGGATTGGGTAACTTGGGTATCTTTATCTACAGAATAAAGCCTACACATCTTTAGTGTAACTACATTAACCTGTTTTAACATACATATATGTACACACACACACACATATATATATATATATATATATATGAAATATTTTTTTCAAATGATCATTTCATTTATTTAAAGAAAAACTTTTCCAAGACCAACTGGCCATGAGGAAAAAGTATTATTTACTCAGTCAACCAATTAACCAAATGTAGCTCTAAATTGGAATCAATTAATTAGACACACACAGGCGTGATTACTGCTAGCCCTGCTGAATAGCATCACTTAAATACAACCTTTCCAGCAATGTGAAGTAGGCTAGTGTCTCAACAAGCACCACACTATGCTGCAATCAAAAGAAATTCCAGAAGAGGTGAGAAAGACATTTACTGATATATATCGCACTCTGGAAAGGGTTACAAAATCATTTAGTTCTGGGACTCCAGCGAACCTCAGTAAGAGGCTTTATCTCCAAATGGGGAAAACTTAGAACAGTGGTGGACCTTCCCATAAGTGGCTGACCTACCACACTCCAGAGAGAGAGAGCGAAGGGGGAATGCAAGAGTGAGAAAGAACTTCCTTCCTGTCAATGACCGCAGCAAACTGTTGCAAGAGACTAGCAAACTGCCACCCCAGAGTGTTAATCCCATGTTCAGTGAAACAAATCTACCCCTTGTTTCTGAAGTTTTCACATTCCACAATTTCACCCTTACAACCAAATGTAGATAAGCCAAGATGTGTGGTGTCTGAGGTTTGCTTCTTTCAGGCTTTTGTAGCTAACAAGCATTGGAACTAATTAGCATCATTCAAACTGCATGCAGAAATCGTCACACACTAGCTATAATATGGTAGGTGCCATTTTGAAGCATGAATTTTTACAATTTTTATAGACAGTGACAGAAACCACATAAGGAAGTTTATTTGAGATTACACTTATACCTTCAAGAGCAAAGTGACAACTCATCCAGGAAGTCATAAAAGAACCCAGACGAATGTCTTAGGAACTTCAGTTAGAGTCAGATAAGGTCAGTGTCCTGCATTAGAAAGACACTGGGCAAAAACTGTATCCATGGAAGTGTTGCAAGAAGAAAACCACCACTAACCAAGAGGAATCCAAAATGGAAATACTTTTAAAAGACGGGGTCCCTATACATCTGGCATAAAGCTGAAACAGCATTCAACAATAAAAGACCTGAAATGGACTGATGCTCTTTATGGTAATAATAGACATTGTGCTTTCTGAAAAAAAAAGAAAAGGACCACTATCTACTATCTAAAAGGTCAAAAGCTAGGGTCTGTCATGCTATGGGGCGCTATTTGTGGGTAACTTGCACATTTGCGAAAGCGTCTTTGTTGCTGAACACATTTTGGAGCAACTTCTTCAGGGATCTCCATGCTTCAAAATGACAACGGCCAGCCACATTCTGCACATTTTACAACAGCATCCATAATCAGAGAATGCAGGTTTTAGACTGGCCTGTCTGAAGTCCAGGTCTGTCTCCCATTGAAAACGTGTCTTATTTTGCTCAAAATACAACAACAAAGGCCCTGTATGGTTGCACAGCTAACGACTTGAATAACAGAAGAACTGGAAATAAATTCCAGTTTCTATAGTGAATCAATTGGTGTCTTTCGGCATTTCATATACTGTTGAACCTTTTTTGGAACCACAGTTGTAAGTTAGTAAACTATTTTATGACTTGCATTGATAACCCAAACTTTGCTGTTGCTGAACATTTTTTTTAATCAGCTACAATAAAAAAGGTCGGGCAAAAAAGAGGACAAAAAAAATCTACCCCATCCAGTTTAGTCATGACATTGCTAGTTTTTTTTAAAGCTTACTAAGCTTGTCACAACCCTCCCTGGTCTCCCTTGCCTAATTTGCTACTTAGATTAGTGAGATTATTTCTTGTTCTTGTACTGAATTCTGCCATATAATCATTTACGTTTTCTCTCTTGTAAGTGTTGAGTATGGTTCAGTAGGTCACAAACTACAAACAAGTCCTTTTAAGGGGAAACCTCTCTGTCTATAAAGGGAGAGGGAGGGATAAGTGGTTCAGCAAAGGCCACATGTGAAAACAAGAGCACGTTGAGAGAGAGAGAGAGCGCAAGAGTGAGAAAGAACTTCCTTCCTGTCAATGACAGCAGCAAACTGTTGCAAGAGACTACCAAATCACTATCCCAGAGTGTTAATCCCACATTCAGTGAAACAAACCTACCCCCTGTTTCTAAAATTTCCACAACATATTCCACAACTTCCCCTAAGCCAAGATGTGTGGTGTTTGAAGTCTGCTTATTTCAGGCTAATGTAGCTAACTAGTATTGGAACCAATTAGCATCATTCAAACTGCATGCAGAAACTGTCGCACACTAACTGTAAAATGGAGAGAGTACATTTCTCAGCCTGAAACAATAGTAGGAGCCATTTTGAAGCATGAATTTATTTTTTTTTTTTTTAGAAATCAGTATGCCATTCAGTGTCAGAAATGACATAATGAAGTCTTATTGAGATTACACATACACAGCTGCAGCAGTTTAAGGCAATGATGTGTGATGATTTAGACATGCAGTCTGTATGATGCTAAACTGTGTTAATAATAATAATATTTAAATAATAATAATAATAATAATAATATATAAATAATAATATTTAAAAACTTGCTTCTTTTATTTATCTTCTCAACTTCTCAACCAGCCTGTCAAAACACGGCTAAATCTAATAACTGTTAATAACTAATAACTGGCTGTTTAAACAGTTCAACTCGTGTTTACGTAACTGTCCAGGTGGAACGTCGCTTCCTGTACTATTCTGCATCCAATTTTATCCCCTTTGCATGTAATTATTCTATCTTTAAAAAGCTTCTAATGCTGATTCTTGTTTTAGCATGTTTCTTGTCATTAAGTTTTTGGCAGCACAACAAGTTTCTTTTTCCTGCCAGAGGAGGTTGCTAACTGGACTTTTACATGTGTTCTTAGCTGAGCAGATGGAGATGGGGCGGAGTAATGTGCTGTAGGGGAAGGTCTTATAAAATGACTGACAGGAGGTCAGTGTAAACATAGACAAGCCCTCTGCTCTGCCCTGCAGTTTTCCAAACGGGGTTTCCCAGGCACATAATATACTCATGCTGATGCCATTGCTAAAACATTTTTTAAGCATATTTTACACATTTTCCAGGTTATTAACACTCGCAATAAAAAAAATAAATTGACTAATGCACTTTTAATCTGGAAGAAGTAGACATGAGTGGTATGAATCTTAGCGTGTCCCTATTTGGTGGGGTTCAATGGCAACAATCTATACCTGTTCACATGCTTGTGGCTTTAGTCAAGTGAAATCTATTTCATTTTTCCTGACCAGCCAAAGGTGTTCAATTCCCAAGTTGTGCAGCTCCTATTAGATTTGAGTCAATGTAACTATGGTGATTAGATAAAACCAACATCAATAATCATGGAAAACAGTGGTTTAAACAAGGTAATTACTGGTAATGTATTATGGGCTAGTACAAAAGGATAAAAACATACTGTAAAAAATTTAATAAAACACATACATTACCATGAATATATCTAACTGAAAACTTTGTCCACTTGCACCATGGCAGGAAGTAAGGCAGCTGAGTCACTTACCACCAGATACAGATCACACCCTTCCTGTACTATTCTTAGGAAAATCTCTTAGAGTACAAAGACCCCAGTCACCGCTCAGTTTAAACTTGCATATACACACACACACACACACACACACACACACACACACACACACACACACACACAGCAGTATATGCTAAAAGACCAAAAAAAGTTTGATTGGACCCATAACAGCAAATCATCAAACACAATTATTCAGTGTATCAGTTACACATACAAGTTATCCATTACACATACATACCTGTATTATACTATAATATAAACATAAAAATAATTTGCTAGGTTTAACATTTTAACAACATATAACTTTTAGCAAATTAAAGTAAAAAATCTACACTAATTTGATTAAATAGCATTTTTATAAAATAAATAGAATTTTGTTTATATTTTTAAAATTCTTATTTATATACAATGTCCTGGAGAACCTTGAAGCTGAAGCTATAGCTAGTAAACATCAGCTAATTCAACTAACAAAATTATTTAAAGTAAATGACAGTTGATAAAGGAGGCTGTGTGCATAAATACTGGGCAGACCACTGCACAATAAAGTTGAATTTTGTTAATACTGTACAGTTCCATGTCCACAGTACCTCAACAGTCTTTGTACTATAGCTCTAC